GTGGGAGGCAATTTCCCTTTTTGCTTGTCTGGGAATTGTTTAATCCCTCCTTCATATTTAAATGATAATCGTGCTGGATACAGTATCCTTGCTTCAAGGCCCTTCTGTTTCATTGCATTAAATATATGCCATTCTCTTTTGGCCTGTAAGGTTTCTGTTGAGAAGTCTGATGATAGCCTGATGGGTTTTCCTTTGTAGGTGACCTTTTGTCTCTCTCTGGCTGCCTTTAATATTCTGTCCTTGTTCTTCATCTTTGCCATTTTAATGATTATGTGTCTTGGTGTTGTCCTCCTTTGGTCCCTTCTGTTGGGAGTTCTGTGGACTTCTGTGGTCTGAGAGACTATTTTCTCCCCCACTTTGGGGAAGTTTTCAGCAATTATTCCTTCAAATACACTTTCTATCCCTTTTTCTCTCTCTTCTTCTTCTGGTACCGCTGTAATGTGGATATTGTTCTGTTTGGTCACACAGTTCTCTTAATATTGTTTCATTCCTAGAGATCTTTTTATCTCTCTCTGCCTCAGCTTCTCTGTGCTCCTGTTCTCTGATTTCTATTCCATTAAAGGCCTCTTGCATCTCATCCATTCTGCTCTTAAGCCCTTCCATAGATTGTTTTATTTCTGTATTCTCCCCCCCAACTTGATCCTTTAGCTCTTGCATATTTCTCTGCAGCTCCATCAGCATGGTTATGACCTTTATTTTGAATTCTTTTTCAGGAAGATTGGTTAAATCTATCTCCCCAGGCTCCTTCTTGGGGGTTGTCTGTGTTACTTTTGTCTGAATCAAATTTTTCTGCCTTTTCATGGCGATAGAAGTAGTCATGGGCAGTTGGTGTGTGTGTCAGCTGGGAGAATGAAGTCCCTTCTTGCTTGGTGGTCGCCTTCTTCTCCTACAAGAACAGCGACCCCTAGTGGCTTGTGCTGGGTAGCTGCATGCCGTTGGGGCCTGAGTCCAGTCTGGGCAGGTGCGGAGGAGGCTCTGCATGGTTGTTCTGGGCGTGGCTGCTCAGGCTGCTCCCCTGCTATATGGGGCCACACCAGAGGGGGAATGGACTGAGTGGCTGCTTATCGCTGTGAGGGGCTTCAGAGCTGTGCTGTTGCCCAGGGGGTTAGGGCGCCCGGAGTTCCCCGGGATTCCCAGCTGTTGGGCTGTGTGCCGTTACGCTTCCATCCAGCTGTGAAGCCCCTGTCCCTTTAAGACTTTCAAAAGGCACTCGCTTTTCTTTTGTCCCAGGGGTGCTGGCTGTGGGGACCCGCTCACAGGTTTTACTGTTCCATTTCACTAATATCCAGCACACCATACAATGTGTGTCTGTGCTGGTGCAGATGACTAGGGCTGAGTATTTAGCAGTCCTGGGCTCCCTCTCCCTCTCCTCTCCGACTCCTTTCTTCCTGCTGGGGTGGGGGTGGGGGACTCGGGTCCCGCTGGGCCATGGCTTGTGTCTTACCCCCTTTGTGAGGTGTTTAGTTCTTGCAGATGTAGATGTAACCTGGCTGTTGTGCTGTATCTTCTGGTCTCTTTTAGGAATAGTTGTATTTGTTGTATTTTCAGAAATATATATGGTTTTGGGAGGAGATTTCTGCTGCCCTACTCACACCGCCATCTTGGCTCCTCCTCTACATTTGTATTTGTACATATATGTTTATACATGTAGAAAAAAGGGGCTGAAAGGCGAAAGCATGCCAAAGCGTTGTACCGGGGAATAGGAGTGGACAGGGCGGTGTTCGTATGAAATTGTTATAGTTAAGGATAAGTTGCAGATAAATTTTATTTAAGGATAAGTTGTTTTATCCTTTAGAGAGAGGCAAAATGTAAACATGGGCAGCTGCATGCCATCGGGGTAGTATAAATTGTAGGGAGAAAAGGACAATTAATCTTTATAAACACACACAAATATTACACAGAAAACTTTTATTGAAATGTGTTATACATATGTACATTTTAGGAAGTTACTAGGTAGACATACTTTCCTCTGTAGGTTTAGTTTGAGCTTCAGTTACCTGTGAAAATACAAATAGTTTTATTTTTCTATAAACACTTTCAGTTTCATATTTCACCCTCCATTTAAAGTCATCCCACAGTCCTTCTCTTATAATGACTCTCTGTCTTTCTCCTTCAACAATAATTATTATAGAAAGTAGAAAAGAAAACTTACAAGTTCCCAATATAAATTACTGAGTAAAGTACAATTCCATTGTTGGCATTTATACAGGCTTATACTAGGCTTCTCAAGTTTGTCATTTCATTTTTCATCTACAAATGAAACCATTAGTATAAGAAAATTACAAAAAAAAAAAAATACCAACAGTGCTGCAACAAGATTTATTAAAATCAGTCTATTTTATAGGGGGTACAAATCTATTTTGAACATAGAATATTGTAGGTTTACTAGAAACAGATTTTAGTATGCCCATATTTCTATTCTGTCACTCAGATACATCAAACAGAATTATTCCTCATCACCCCAAAACCCGTACCCCTGCGCCCCTGCATTTTCTATCTCAGAGACAGGCTCTACCCAGCTGCCCAAGCCTGGCATCAGAGAATCCATAGTTCTCTTACCTGCATATTCAATCAACAGTCCTAGTAATTCTACCTAATGATCTCTCACAGCCATCTTCACTGTAATGCCTGAACTTGAGGATCTCATCTTCCATTCTGGTAGTAGGACCACTAGCCTAAGTCGAGGCTTTCTTCCATGCTGTCCCCAGAATGAGCTTTTAAACAAGAATAGCCGACTAATAGGTCACTTCCTTGTTCAAATTCTCTAGTTACCTCCAACCACCTTGAGGAAGGGAATGCAAATTCCACATCATGGAAAATAAGCCCTTCATTTGTTATTTGCAACAAATTTATTTGGACTTATCACCCACCCTTCATGTGACTGCACATTCAGATTCATCTTATATTCACAGTGTTCTCCATTCCTCCATGCCTTTAGGCAAGTAGCTTCCTTTGAGATAACCCCAACCCAAACAACTTATCTGTCTGGCCCACTTTTATTCATCCTTTAAAACTAGTTTAAGAAATGCCAATTCCTGGCAATGTGCTATAACCAAACACCCAGTTTGGTTTGGGTCCTTTTCTTCTGTATGTCAGAGTCCCACATGTAAACCTGAACTGTCTCTAGTTCTAATAAGTCTAGTTACCCATTAAAGTAACTTCCTTGAAGGCAGCAAGTAGGTTTTGTTTATTTTCTACCTACAGTTCCTGGTACATAACAAATACTAAGTAAATCTGTTATTAGCTGAATCAATGAACTATATGTTTAACCTACTCCCTTAGACAAGCAAAATGGACAGTGGAAGAAGGAAACTGAACCACAAGAGATATTGCAAAAACAACTACTCACTAATTTCTACCAGATACTCTATTATTTTTCTGCATTTCTTACATACTCATTTCTTCTGTTTCTTAATCATAAATGATCACTATGAAGAACCTAAGAGACAGTTATTCCACCGTTGAAAAATACTTTCTTATCATGAGGAAATTCTGTAACCTTTACATATGAACATTATGTCTAAGCACTTACACAATAAATTCTATCTGTAAATTCATTAATGAAGATATTTATATATTATCATGAAAAATAGTCAATAAATATTTACTGGGTGATCGTCATGTACCAAATGTTGGTTTCAAGATTTGTTTGAATAAACCCCAAATAGGTTAACTGATTGAATACAAATATACTAAATGTACTGGCAAAAACAATCAGAAACCAGTGTGAGAGAATAAATGATCAAGGAGAAATTGTAGGAGTGGATATGTTCAGAGATTACTCTGAGAATATTATGACCTTTATTTTGAATTCTTTTTCAGGAAGATTGGTTAAATCTATCTCCCCAGGCTCCTTCTTGGGGGTTGTCTGTGTTACTTTTGTCTGAATCAAATTTTTCTGCCTTTTCATGGCGATAGAAGTAGTCATGGGCAGTTGGTGTGTGTGTCAGCTGGGAGAATGAAGTCCCTTCTTGCTTGGTGGTCGCCTTCTTCTCCTACAAGAACAGCGACCCCTAGTGGCGTGTGCTGGGCAGCTGCATGCCGTCGGGGCCTGAGTCCAGTCTGGGCAGGTGCGGAGGAGGCTCTGCATGGTTGTTCTGGGCGTGGCTGCTCAGGCTGCTCCCCTGCTATATGGGGCCACACCAGAGGGGGAATGGACTGAGTGGCTGCTTATCGCTGTGAGGGGCTTCAGAGCTGTGCTGTTGCCCAGGGGGTTAGGGCGCCCGGAGTTCCCCGGGATTCCCAGCTGTTGGGCTGTGTGCCGTTACGCTTCCATCCAGCTGTGAAGCCCCTGTCCCTTTAAGACTTTCAAAAGGCACTCGCTTTTCTTTTGTCCCAGGGGTGCTGGCTGTGGGGACCCGCTCACAGGTTTTACTGTTCCATTTCACTAATATCCAGCACACCATACAATGTGTGTCTGTGCTGGTGCAGATGACTAGGGCTGAGTATTTAGCAGTCCTGGGCTCCCTCTCCCTCTCCTCTCCGACTCCTTTCTTCCTGCTGGGGTGGGGGTGGGGGACTCGGGTCCCGCTGGGCCATGGCTTGTGTCTTACCCCCTTTGTGAGGTGTTTAGTTCTTGCAGATGTAGATGTAACCTGGCTGTTGTGCTGTATCTTCTGGTCTCTTTTAGGAATAGTTGTATTTGTTGTATTTTCAGAAATATATATGGTTTTGGGAGGAGATTTCTGCTGCCCTACTCACACCGCCATCTTGGCTCCTCCTCTACATTTGTATTTGTACATATATGTTTATACATGTAGAAAAAAGGGGCTGAAAGGCGAAAGCATGCCAAAGTGTTGTACCGGGGAATAGGAGTGGACAGGGCGGTGTTCGTATGAAATTGTTATAGTTAAGGATAAGTTGCAGATAAATTTTATTTAAGGATAAGTTGTTTTATCCTTTAGAGAGAGGCAAAATGTAAACATGGGCAGCTGCATGCCATCGGGGTAGTATAAATTGTAGGGAGAAAAGGACAATTAATCTTTATAAACACACACAAATATTACACAGAAAACTTTTATTGAAATGTGTTATACATATGTACATTTTAGGAAGTTACTAGGTAGACATACTTTCCTCTGTAGGTTTAGTTTGAGCTTCAGTTACCTGTGAAAATACAAATAGTTTTATTTTTCTATAAACACTTTCAGTTTCATATTTCACCCTCCATTTAAAGTCATCCCACAGTCCTTCTCTTATAATGACTCTCTGTCTTTCTCCTTCAACAATAATTATTATAGAAAGTAGAAAAGAAAACTTACAAGTTCCCAATATAAATTACTGAGTAAAGTACAATTCCATTGTTGGCATTTATACAGGCTTATACTAGGCTTCTCAAGTTTGTCATTTCATTTTTCATCTACAAATGAAACCATTAGTATAAGAAAATTACAAAAAAAAAAAAATACCAACAGTGCTGCAACAAGATTTATTAAAATCAGTCTATTTTATAGGGGGTACAAATCTATTTTGAACATAGAATATTGTAGGTTTACTAGAAACAGATTTTAGTATGCCCATATTTCTATTCTGTCACTCAGATACATCAAACAGAATTATTCCTCATCACCCCAAAACCCGTACCCCTGCGCCCCTGCATTTTCTATCTCAGAGACAGGCTCTACCCAGCTGCCCAAGCCTGGCATCAGAGAATCCATAGTTCTCTTACCTGCATATTCAATCAACAGTCCTAGTAATTCTACCTAATGATCTCTCACAGCCATCTTCACTGTAATGCCTGAACTTGAGGATCTCATCTTCCATTCTGGTAGTAGGACCACTAGCCTAAGTCGAGGCTTTCTTCCATGCTGTCCCCAGAATGAGCTTTTAAACAAGAATAGCCGACTAATAGGTCACTTCCTTGTTCAAATTCTCTAGTTACCTCCAACCACCTTGAGGAAGGGAATGCAAATTCCACATCATGGAAAATAAGCCCTTCATTTGTTATTTGCAACAAATTTATTTGGACTTATCACCCACCCTTCATGTGACTGCACATTCAGATTCATCTTATATTCACAGTGTTCTCCATTCCTCCATGCCTTTAGGCAAGTAGCTTCCTTTGAGATAACCCCAACCCAAACAACTTATCTGTCTGGCCCACTTTTATTCATCCTTTAAAACTAGTTTAAGAAATGCCAATTCCTGGCAATGTGCTATAACCAAACACCCAGTTTGGTTTGGGTCCTTTTCTTCTGTATGTCAGAGTCCCACATGTAAACCTGAACTGTCTCTAGTTCTAATAAGTCTAGTTACCCATTAAAGTAACTTCCTTGAAGGCAGCAAGTAGGTTTTGTTTATTTTCTACCTACAGTTCCTGGTACATAACAAATACTAAGTAAATCTGTTATTAGCTGAATCAATGAACTATATGTTTAACCTACTCCCTTAGACAAGCAAAATGGACAGTGGAAGAAGGAAACTGAACCACAAGAGATATTGCAAAAACAACTACTCACTAATTTCTACCAGATACTCTATTATTTTTCTGCATTTCTTACATACTCATTTCTTCTGTTTCTTAATCATAAATGATCACTATGAAGAACCTAAGAGACAGTTATTCCACCGTTGAAAAATACTTTCTTATCATGAGGAAATTCTGTAACCTTTACATATGAACATTATGTCTAAGCACTTACACAATAAATTCTATCTGTAAATTCATTAATGAAGATATTTATATATTATCATGAAAAATAGTCAATAAATATTTACTGGGTGATCGTCATGTACCAAATGTTGGTTTCAAGATTTGTTTGAATAAACCCCAAATAGGTTAACTGATTGAATACAAATATACTAAATGTACTGGCAAAAACAATCAGAAACCAGTGTGAGAGAATAAATGATCAAGGAGAAATTGTAGGAGTGGATATGTTCAGAGATTACTCTGAGAATGTTGCATGAAGAAGGTAAGACTTGGGCAAGGTACTGAAGAATATGTAGGATGTAAACAGACAGAAGGAAAGTGGGCAATGGGAAATGGAATCCAGACAGAATTATTATAAAAAAGTAAAACAAACTTGAAAGTAAGTTTGGACTAATACCACTATACTGTATATTTGAAAGTTGCTAAGAGAGTATATCTTAAACATTCTCACCACACACATCCCTCACAAATTGTAATTCTGTAAGGTGATGGTTGTGTTAATTAACTTTATTATGGTAATCATTTTGTGACAGATGTATTTGTCAAATCATTACAATGTATATCTTAAATTTACACGTTATATGTCAATATCTCAGTAAAGCTAGAAAAAAGTGGTATAAGAATGTAAACCAAAAACATTAAAATGAAACAAGAAGGCAAGTTTAGTGTGCTTGCAAGCTTGATTAGAGTGGAAAATTAAGGTAACTAGGAAAGGTTCATGTGTCCAGATTACACAAAACAGCTATCAGACTATGTAAGTAAATGAAGAACACTTAGCCAGTGAAAGAGTGAATAAGGATAGTCATGGTCAATAGTATATAGTCATTCCTACTTGTAAAATCCAAACGCTAATGACACAGAATAAACTACAAAACACAAGAACTCAAACTGGTTTTTCAGGACATTTGTGCATTTAATATGTCAAGAGTCAAGGCAACTTAAATATATCTGACAAATTTTAATCTTTAAACATTTATTAAGTTAACCAAAAAATTATCATCAGCCATTAAGAATTATTACTACTATATGGCAATTCTTCCTTCAAACTCTACCGTGTCATTTCCATGATATTAACAAATAAAAACAAGAGAATTGCCAAATTACAACTTTTCTCTTGCCAAGATACTACTACTGGGGTCAATAATTACAACCCTGGTTTAGCTATTAAGACAACTATTTTTTTCTTTTCTTTCTTTTTTTTCTTCTTTTTGCTGTTTAATTTAATGAAAATTTCTTCATAGACAAGTACTTATTAAATGGCAAAAACACTTACCATTTTCCTAGATCTTTCCAATAGCTTACCCCATATCGTAAAATGTGCCTTAAAGTTAAAAAAAAAAAAGAATTACATAAATAGTTAAAATTAAAATAAAAGGGGCTGAGTCTTTTAATAATTTTAAACAAAACAAATACATAAAAAGTTAGGCAGTACTACTAAGGCTAAGTGGTTACAAAAGTGGACTAGAGCAGGGGAACTTTACAGAATAACTACTTTGTTCATCTGGCATTTAAGAACAAGAGACTTAAGTATGGGATATGCCATTCTTCCTTTGTGTCCTTAATAATTACCATCACAGAAAGCATTCCTTCTAAGGGAGAGCAAAAATCTGCCCCACTTTCCCACACATTTTGGTTCTTTCTTTAACACCCAGTTTTAGGTCATTCTTCAAATCATAAACATCATTAAGAACCATGACATCTTCAGGCTGAAATGGCAGACCTAGAGGATTTAGCAAATTACCCTAAGAACAAGTAAAAAGAGAAACAATAATAAAATCATAGAGCCAATTTCTTTAATTCTTAACAATCTTTGTGATAGATGATTATCAGAATGCATACATGAAAAATGTGCAAAGTGCATAATAACCAATCAATTTAATTAGGTCAGTTGAAGACAAAACTGAGAGATATGAGTGGTTCAATGGCTATTTCACACTGAATGATCTGGAAAAATCTAAGTAAAAGGTAAAATAACTAGATACATACATGCAAACTGCTCTGGAGAAAAAAGCAGACATAGTACATTTAAAGGGAAAACCATGCCTGACCCAAATAGAATAAACAGCTGGTGCAGAGACCAGGTGTGGCTGGAATATAGGGGGTGATAGAGAAAGCAGTAAGAGGTGAAGTCAGATAGGCAGGCAGGGGCCAGATAATGTGGGGCTTTGTGAGACAGAGAAAAAGGTTGGAATTTGTTTACAAGAAGCCATTAGAATGTTTGGGGGAAAGGAATTAAATGATATGATAGGTGTATTAAAAAAGATAATTTGGCAATTAAGTAGGGAATACACTGTGGGGGGCAGGAATGAAAGCAAGGGGAGTGGAGAATAAGCAGGACTTGGCTAAGGGTTGTAGTAGTAGCAGATGAGATGCTATGCAATGGATGGATTCAGGGTATGTTTTAGAGTTAAGAGTTGAAAGGACTTGCTGATAGATGGGATGGGGGCATGATATGAGGGAAACAGAGAATCAAGAATTGCCTCACAGCTAGGTGCCTCTTACTGAAATGGAGAAAGCTAGGAAAGGAAACAACTGTTTGGAGAAAAATCAGACATATAAAGTACATGGATGCTAAAAATTACAAAATGCTGATGAAAGAAGATTTAAATAAAAGATACATCATGTGCATTGATTGGAAGATTCAATATGGTAAAATGTCAATTCTCACCAAATTGATATACAGGTTAAAAACAGTCCTATCAAAATCCTAGCATGATTTGTTGACACAGACAAGATTATTCTAAAGTTAAATGGAAGGCAAAGGGCCTAAAATAGTTAAAACAACTTTTATAATAATAACATGAGAGGAATTATCTATCTAAATTATTCAAGATGTATTTACAGCTACAGAAATCAGGACTGTGATGTTAGCAGAGGGACAGATACACAGATCAATGGAACAGAGTAAGGAACCCAGAAATAGACCCACACAAATATACCCAACTGATTTTTAACAAGAGTGCAAAAGTAATTCAATGGAAGAACAGCCTTGTCAACAAAAGGTGCTGTAGCAATTTGACATGTATAGGCAAAAAAATGAACCTTACCTAAATCCCACACCTTATACAAAATTTAAGACAAAATGGACTACAGACTTAAATATAAAACTGCACAACTTTTAGGAAAAGAAAAACAGGAGAAAATCTTTGGGATCTACAGCCAGGCAAAGAATTCTTAAAATTGACAATGAAAGTATGATCCACAAAGAAAAAAACTCATCTCCAATCAAAACTTCATCTTCATCAAAATTAGAAACTTCTGATCTGCGAAAGTCTATTAAGAGGATGAAAGGACAAAATACAGACACAGAGAAAATATTTGTAAACAATGCATCTAATAAAGGACTGATACCTAGAACATATGTTTTTTTAAATCTCTCAAAACTCAATGGTAAAATAGCAATCCAGCAGGACACAGGCAAAAGACATGAACAAACATTTCAGCAAAAAGATACAGAGATGGCAAAAAATATATGAAAAGATGTTTAGCACAATTAGTCAATACAGAAACACAAATTAAAACTACACTGACAAATCACTACAAACCTGTCACAGCAGCTAAAATAAAAAATAGTGACATCATCAAATACTGGCAAGGATTCAAAAAACTGATTACTCATACACTGCTGGTGGGAATGGTAAATGGTATAGCTACCTTGGAACTCAGTTTGGTAGTTTCTCAAAAAACTAAATAGGCATCTATATGACCCAGCAATGTACTCATGAATAACATTTATCCCAGAAAAATCAAAACATATTCACAAAAATCTGTGCATAAATTTTCCTTGCAGCCTTATTCATAGGACACAAAAAACTAGAAACAACCCAAATATCCTTTAACAGAGGAATAAATACACTGTTACAGCCGTACCAAGGAATATGACTCAGCAACAGAAATAAACCAACTATTGATACACACAACTTAGATGAATCTCCAGAGAATTGTGCTGAATGAAAAAAAAACAATCTCAAAAAATTACATAATGTATAATCCCACACATACGATAGTCTTGAAATGACAAAATTATAGAGATTAGTAGTTGTCAAGAGTAAGGAGGTGTGGGCAGGGCAGAGGGGAATGGGTATGAGTGCATGTGGCTATAAAAGATCAACAGGACAGACCTTTATGAAGGAGTGTCTCTGATACTATACTCTACTTTTGTAAGACGTTATCAGTGGGGAAACTGGGTAAAGGTACTTCAGATCACCCTCTATTATTTCTCATAAGTACATGTGAACCTACATAGATTTTTAATTATCTCAAAATCAAAAGTTAAAAAAAAAAAGCATTAGCAAGGAGTGGGAGGAATATGGAAAATGATAGGTTTGGGTCATGAATAGATCATAAAATTAGGGAGTAGAGCATGCCGAATGTAAAGCCCAAAGGTATCCCAGAAGGTTTACCATTATATACTCTAACACTCCTCAGTTACTCTCCTCTAAACTAATTTGAAAAATTTTAAATACTCAGTTTGATTTAATTTTTTCATTCAATTTTTTTGTGTGTGGGAATTATCTGTTCCATCCTGGGAAAAACTGTTTTTGTCATAAACCCAGGCTTATAGTGCCACACAAATTAATGAAAATTGAAATACATGTCCTTCAAATCTGGTATAAAATCAAAACCAGAATCACACTCAGAGCCAAACTAGATGAATGAAACTTTAAGTTTTACTTACTCTTAAGTGAACAGGTAAAGAGAGGCCCTGGAATCTTCGTACAAGACTCGACTGGGTAGCTTGAATATTGTGAACTGCAGACACCTCATACTGGGAACAAATACTTGTTCTTGGAATTAGAGGACCCTCACTCACATCAATGAAGTCACCAAATCTGATTTGATTTTAAAAACAAAAAAATAAAACCTCAAAATTGAATCATTTACAATAGATAGAAAAAGTACATTTATTCTCTCTACTGCTACATCCCTAATCAAGAACATTCTATGTAGCTCAATTCAGTGTCTAATAGTCCATGACACAATGATCTCAAATGAAGAGGTTAAAACTATGAAAATTAAGGTCAAGTAAACCTTCTTCTTAATTAACATTGATATAACTATAAAGGTTTTTAAGATCACTGGACACATTACTATCAAGTAGATCCAATGTCTAAAAATGATAATCTACAACCTTATAATAACTCCCTGCAACAAAGTTTAGAATTTAGTATGCAGGACAGACTGTGTCCAAAGAGCAGTTTTCTAGAGGAAACAAGTCTTGACTCAAGAAAAGATGAGGTTAAAGAAACAGATACAGGCCACTTCTGCATAATGTATTGTTTTACCTCTCTCATCCCTGCATTAGAAAGTACATTCTGAATTAACTTATTGTAACTAGTCAGTATTTGTATTTCTGTATACACATGAATCATGCTCAATTCATAACAGTGGTTATTTTGCGCAATTTCAAAGTAAACTCCTAAAAACTACATTTTTAAAGAATGGTTTTCAACTCTTGAAATGCAGAAATAAAAAAAACAAACAACAAAATGAGGAAACAGAAACTATGACTGTTCCTAAACATAAATTAAAGCTTCCAATTACTATCATATCAAAACAATGATCAACAGAAAATAAGGTAACAAGAATAATGAATTAGATACGAATTCATCTTTCTGTCGTTCAACACATCTAGGTAATAGTAAAGCTAAGCCTTCCTATAAAGTACCATAGCAGCCAACTTTTTCACTTTTCACTTACCTATGTAACTTGACTATTCTCTCAGGGTTCTGAGCTGCCTTCTCTTCTATGAAAACTATTTTGTACCTAAAGCGCAACAAAGAAAAAAAATTTTCATTCTAAATATACAAAAAGGTAAAAAGGTATTGAAGGATATCTCCCTCTCTCTTCCTCTTTAGCCACAGTTTTTGATAGAGGGATTTAACCCTTGGAGCTTCCCCTTCCTCGTCTTCCATTTATGCCTCGTCTCCTTCAATCTGGCTACAGCCTCATAACTCCACCAAACTATTCACACTAAAGCCAAAGGGGCCTCTTGGTGCGAAAATAAAGGACATTTTTCCTTATTTCTACTGCTCTCCTCCACTTCTCAAAGTGCTCTTTTCCACTGGCTTCTCTAGCATTCCCTACTGCTTGTTATTTTAACTCTCTGGCCACTCATCCTTCCTATTCTTCAAGGGTTCTGTCCAAGACCTTTTTGACATTCTAAGCATCCTCCTAGGGCTAGCTCTGAGATTCGCACAGCTTTAATTACCACTTATGCATTCATATCTTCTGTATCTCTGCTTCTAATCTACATACCTCTTCTGAGCCCCAAACTGCATATCCAGGACCCTTCTGGACATCCACTAGGATGTTCTACAGGCACTTCCAAATTCTCAAACTGAACATAAACTCAACCCCCTTTTCCCACCAAACTTATTCCTGAATTTTCCACTTTAGTAAATGGCACTATCAACTTCCCTCATTTCCAAGTGGAAAACTTCAGCCATTTCCTTGATTCCTGCTTCTCCCACCACACCTCTTGCATCCAACCCACTGCTAGTCATGTCAGTTTTACTGCCTAAATAACTCTCAAATCTACCCAATTCTGTCAGAATAGCTAATAACACTGCACAGCCCAGGTTCAAACCATTTACTATTAAGAGTCTTCTCAATTTATCCCAGAGTGTTAAACAATATTACCTATGTGTCTAGGAAGGATAGGAAGCATTAGCTTACAGAGAAAAATCCACTTACTGTCACACCCCTTCAGCAAGAGCCCCCATGCATTACTAAGGAAACCAATTCCCTGGAATAGTCATCTCTCTTGACCCACCTCTAAGCGATGTTCCTGTGCCCTAGGAGCTAAAGCAACAGAAATTTCACCCTACAGCAGAAAAATTCAATCACACTAATCTACCTTCAACCATCCAAAACTCTCTGTCAAACTTGCCTCCAGACCAGCCTCTACCTACCTACCTCCATATACCTAACTAAGTACAAAAATCCTACAAGCCCCTAGACTTTGACAGTTGAGTGGGAGGTAAGTAAAATCTCAGTGTACATGCAACGAAAGTCTAGAGTATGCTGTCCAATATGGTAGCTATGGAGCACTTAAACGTAATGTAGTCCTAACTGCAATGTACCTTAAAAGTGTGAAATACACACCAGATTCTGAAGACTTGGTATGAAAAAAAGAATATAAAGTATTGTTATTTTTTAATATTGATCAAATGTAGAAATAACATTTTAGATATATCATTTCAACAAAATGCACTGTTAAAATTAACTTCACCTTGAGATTCCGAGATTAAAGATGATAGTGTGAGAGGTGAGACAGAGAACTCCTCCCAAAACCACTTATAGTATGAAAATATAGTTAATATAATTACTCCTAAAAGAGAAACAGGAAAGAAGGCTGCACAAGACTGCATACACCTGGAGAACAGAGCAGACCTCATAAAAGAGGGCAACAGGGTTGCTCCCCTGTAACCTCTGACATCACTCCAGGGGCTGAGCAGGTCCAGAGACTAGAGCTTCTGGGCACTAGAGGGCACCACATACAAATACGAAATGTCAAAGGAACCTGGTTCAAACCAAAAGCCCACAAACATGGGAAAAAGGGCCAAGTGAAACTGAACTCACCAATCTTCCTGAAAGAGAGTTCAAAATAAAAATCATTAACATGCTTGTGGAGGTACAGAAAAATATTCAAGAACTCAGGACCGAATTTAGGAACAGAGATTCAATTATTAAGAAATTTCATATCTGAAAAGAAACATACAATGGAGGCATTTGAAAGTATATTAGATGTAGTAGAAGAAATGATAATGGAATAGAAATTAGAGAAGAGGAATACAAAGAAGCTGAGGCACAGACAGAAAAAAGGAACCCTTAGAATGAATGAATATTGAGAGAACTGTGTAACCAATCCAAACGGAACAATATTTGCATTATAGGGGTACCAGAAGAAGAAGAGAGTAAAAGGGATAGAAAGGGTCACTGAGGAGGTAATTGCTGAAAATTTCCCCATTCTGGAAGATCAGGATAAGGACAGACTTTTAAAAGCAGCTAGAAAGAGAAAAAGATCACATACAAAGGAAAAGCCATCAAGCTGTCATCAGAGGTCTTAACAGAAACCTTAGAGGCCCAAAGGGATTGGCACAATATATTTAATGCAATGAAACAGAAGGACCTCAAACCAAGAATACTCTATATGCCAAGGTTGTGATTAAACAATTTTCAGAGAAGCAAAAGCTGAGAGAATTTACCTCCCACAAACCATCTATACAGTATATTTTGGAGGGACTGCTATAGATGGAAGTGTTCCTAAGGCTAAATAGCTATCACCAGGGGAAATAAAACCACAAAAAGAAAGTAGAACAATTAATTACTAAACAGATGCAAAATCAAATCAATTACCTCCAAAGTCAATCAAGGTATACACAAAGAGTACAGAATGATACCTAATATATAAAGAATGGAGAAAGAAGAAAAAGAAGGGGAAAAAAAGAACCTTTAGATTGTGTTTGTAATAGCATATTAAATGAGTTAAATTACACTTTAGAGAGTAAGGGAATTACCCTTGAAGCTTTGGTAACCACAAATCTAAAGTCTACAATGGCAATAAATATGTACCTATTGATAATCACCCTAAATGTAAATGGTCCGAATACACCAATCAAAAGACATAGAGTCACTGAATGCAAAAAAAACAAGACCCTTCTATATGCTGTCTATAGAGACTCACTTCAAATCCAAAGACATACACAGACTGAAAGTAAAGGAACAGAAAAAGATATTTCATGCAACTAATAGGGAGAAAAAAGCAGGAGTTGCAGTACCTGTATTAGATAAAATAAACTTCAAAACAAAAAAGTCAGAAGAGACAAAGGACGTTACAAAATGATAAAGGGATCAGTCCAACAAGAATATGTAACTATTATAAATACCCAACACAGGAGCACCCACATAGGTGAAACAAATACTAACAGAATTAAAGGGGGAAACAGAATACAAAGCATTCGTTTCAGGAGACTTCAACACACCACTCACTACAAAGGACAGATCAACAAGACAGAAAATAAGTAGAGACATAAGCACTGAACAACACATTAGAAAAGACAGCTACAGAACACTCCGCCCAAAAGCAGCAGGATACACATTCTTCTCAAGTGAACATGGAACATTTTAAAGAATAGATATACTACACCACAAAAAGAGCTTCAGTAAATTGAAAAAGATGGAAATTGTACCATCCAGCTTCTCGAACTACAAAGGTATGAAACTAGAAATAAATTACACATAGAAAACAAAAAAGCCCACAAACACATTGAGGTTTAATAACATGCTCCTAAATAATTAATGGATCAATGACCAAATAAAAACAGAAATCAAGCAATATATGGAGACAAATTACAACAATAATTCAACACCGCAAAATCTGTGGGACCCAGCGAAGGCTGTGCTAAGAGGGAAGTATATTACAATACACACCTATTCTCAGGAAAGAAGAACAATCCCACACGAACACTTTAAACTCACAATTGATGAAACTAGGAAAAGAAGAAATGAAGCCGAAAGTCAGTAGAAGGAGGGACATAATAAGGATTATAGCAAAAATAAATAAAATCGAGAAGAATAAAACAACATAAAGAATCAATAAAAGCAGGAGCTGGTTTTTCAAAAAAATACACAAAATAGATAAACCCCTGGCCAGACCTATCAAGAAAAAAAGAGTCTATGCACATGAACAGAATCAGAAATGAGAAATGAAAAATCACTACAGACACCACAGAAATACAAAGAATTATTAGAGAACACTATGAAAAATTATATGCTAACAAACTGGATAACCTAGAAGAACTGGACAACGTTCTAGAAAAACACAGCCTTCCAAGGCTGACCCAGGAAGAAACAGAAAATCTGAATAGACCAATTACCAGCAAAGAAATTGAATTGGTAATCAAAACACTACCTAAGAACAAAACAGCTGAACCAGATGGTTTCACTGCCTAATTTTATCAAAGTTTTAGTGAAGACCTAATACCCATCTTCCTTGAAGTTTTCCAAAAAGTAGAAGAGGAGGGAATACTTCCAAACTCATTGTACAAGGCCGGCATCACTCTAATACCAAAACCAGGCAAACACACCACAAAAAAAGAAAATTAAAGACCAATATCCCTGATGAACATAGATGCAAAAATACTCAACAAAATATTAGCAAACCAAATTCAAAAATACATCAAAAAGATCATCCATCATGATCAAGTAGGATTTATTCCAGTGATGCAGGGATGGGACAACATTTGAAAATCCATCAACATCGTCCACCACACCAACAAAAAGGAGGACAAAACCACATGATCATCTCCATAGATGCCAAAAAAGATTTGATAAAATTCAACATCCATTGATGATAAAAACTCTCAACAAAATGGGTATAGAGGGCAAGTACTTCAACATAATAAAGGCCATATATGACAAACCTACAGCCAACACCATACTTAACACTGAGCAGCTGAAAGCTTTTCCTTTAAGACAGGGAACAAGACAAAAGATGCCCACTCTCCCCACTTCTATTTAACATAGTACTGGAGGTCCTAGCCACAGCAATAAGACAACACAAAGAAATAAAAGGCATCCAGATTGGCAAGGAAGAAGTTAAACTGTCCCTGTTTGCAGATGACATGATATTGTACATGAAAAACCCTAAAGAATCCACTCCAAAACTACTAGATTTAATATCTGAATTCATCAAACTTGCGGGATACAAAATTAATACACAGAAATTTGTTGTATTCCTATACACTAACGATGAACTAGCAGAAAGAGAAATCAGGAAAACAATTCCATTCACAATTGCATCAAAAAGAATAAAATACCTAGGAATAAATCTAACCAAGGAGGTGAAAGACCTATACTATGAAAACTACAAGACACTCATGAGAGAAATGAAAGAAGATACCAATAAATGGAAACACATCCGTGCTCATGGATAGGAAGAATTAATATTGTCAAAATGGCCATCCTGCCTAAGCAATCCACAAATTCCATTCAATTCCTATCAAAATACCAACAGCATTCTTCAATGAACTAGAGCAAATCATTCTAAAATTCATATGGAATGACAAAAGACCCCGAATAGCCAAAGCAACCTGAGAAGAATAAAGCTGGGGAGATTATGCTCCCAAACTTCAAGCTCTACTACAAAGGCACAGTAATAAAGACAATTTGGTATTGGCACAAGAACAGAACCAAAAACCAATGGAACAGACTAGAGGGCCCTGATATAAACCCAAGCATATATGGTCAATTAATATACGATGAAGGAGCAATGAACATATAATGGGGAAATGACAGCCTCTTCAACAGCTGGTGTTGGCAAAACTGGACAGCCCCATGCAAGAGAATGAAACTGGATTATTGTTTAACCCCATACACAAAAGTAAACTCAAAATGAATCAAAGACCTGAATGTAAATCGTGAAACCATAAAACTCTTAGAAGACAAAATAGGCAAAAATCTCCTGAATAAGCATGAGCAACTTCTTCCTGAACACATCTCCTTGAGCAAGGGAAACAAAAGCAAAAATGAACACATGGGACTACATCAAACTAAAAAGTTTCTGTACAGCAAAGACACCATCAACAGAACCAAAAGCCATTCTACAGTATGGGAGAATACACTTGTAAATGACATATACGACAAGGGGTTAACATCCAAAATATATAAAGAACTCACACGTCTCAACACCCAAAAGCAAATAACCCGATTAAAAAATGGGCAGAGGATATGAAAAGATAAATCTCCGAAGAAAAAATTCAGATGGCCAACAGACACATGAAAAGATGCTCCACATCATTAATCATAATGGAAATGCAAATAAAAACCACAGTGACATATCACCTCACAGCAGTAAGGATGGCCAGCATTGAAAAGACTAAGAACAACAAATGTTGGCAAGGATGCGGAGAAAGGAGAATCCTCCTACACTGCTGGTGGGAATGTAAGCTAGTTCAACCATTGTGGAAAGCAATATGGAGGTTCCTCAGAAAACTAAAAACAGAAATACCATTTGACCCAGGAATACCACTCCTTGGAATTTACCCAAATACAACTTCTCAGATTCAAAAAGACATATGCACCCCTATGTTTATCGCAGCACTATTTACAATAGCCAATAGCCAAGATATGGAAGCAACCTAAGTGTCCATCAGTAGATGAATGGATAAAGAAGATGTGGTACATATACACAATGGATACTATTCAGCCATAAGAAAGAAACAAATCCTACCATTTGCAACAACATGGATGGAGCTGGAGGATATTATGCTCAGTGAAATAAGTCAGGCAAAGAAAGACAAATACCAAGTGATTTCCCTCATTTGTGAAGTATAACAACGAAGCAAACCTGAAGGAACAAAATAGCAGCAGACTCACAAACTCCAAGAAGGATCTACTGGTTACTAAAGAGGAGGGGTGTGGGAGGGAGAGATGGGAGGGAGGGAGAAGAGGATTGTGGGGTATCATGATTGGTGCACATAGTGTGTGTGTGTTAACGGGGAAGATAGTGTAGCTCAGAGAAGACAAATAGGGATTCTGTGGCATCTTACTACACTGATGGACAGTGACTGCAATGGGGTATGGGAGGGGGACTTGATAATATGGGTGAATGTAATAACCAAATTGTTTTTCTTGTGAAACCTTCATAAGAGGGTATATCAATGATACTTCAATAAAAAAAATTTTTTTTAATTAACTTCTCCTTTTGACTTCTTTTTAATGTAGCTACTAGGAAATTTAGTTATATAGATGGCTCACATTATATTGGACAGCATGACCCTAGAATTGTGGCATGAGAAGTGTCTTAATATGTTCTGATAACTCAAGAAATTTTTTATAGAATCAATGGTGCTTTGTTTCTATAGAACTATTTGTACTTAAGTTCAGTTAAAATAGTATATTCCTATTGCTTTCTAAATACATAAGTTCCAGGATATCTAAATATTATAACCTACCCCATGAGAATTTGTGCCTCAATTTATAAATGCCTAAAGAAATACCAGCCTATACCCTATAACAATTTGCAGGTGAATACTCTGGCTTTACAAGATACTATCCATGTTTTATTTTTGCAACCCAGATTTCCCTTTCTAATTAGTTCTAATTTCACTTAATATTAAATTTTACTTTGTTATTATAACTAGTCGAAGAAGGTAAAATGGAAATATCCTGAGTGAAAAAGAGAAATGAGAGCCCAGGTGGGATTTAAAATGTTGGTAAAGAAAATTCATCAAATGAATAATTTCTGTGCAGAAGACTAAGGACTGTGTAAATGTTTTACTTCAACTATTACCTCCCTCCAAACCACAGGCATTTTCTATCTCACCCTTCTCATTTAAAGAGTGGAAGGATGGGAAGGAAAGGCTGCTAACTGTACAAAATAATAGTTCTTAACAAATGTTATCACTTCACAAGGTTAGGAAAACAAGGAAACAGCACTACGTTGATACAAAGAGGACTGGCCAAACAAAGAAGTAAAGCAAAGTGAAAAAATTATCAGGGTGGGGCACAAAAGATCTCTCAGTGAAATAATAAAATGAACAAAATTAAAAAGGCTGGGGCAGAAAAAGAGATCTTAGAGCTAAAAATAAAACGTTGCCCTGCAAACATCAAATATAAAAATTCTTAAGAGTTTAATTTTCATAACATGTAACTTTGCAAGGTTTAATCTTTCTTTAAAGAAAGCCAATGCTTACTTGTTGTGTTGAAATATTTCTACTGCCACTTTTGCTTCAACTTCCAGAGTTTCAAAAGGAAGATCTTTATAAATTAAAGCACGAGCATCTTTTGTGAAGGAACGTAGGTTCTCCTTAAAAATGAAAATAGTAACCTTTTACAACAATTTAATTATAAAAAGCATTTCTCCATAAAGCAGATAAGAAAAAAATTACGTGCTTAATATTATAAGTACAGAAAAAAAAAAGGCAGAAGAAAATTTTTTAGGAAAGTTATTAATTTGAAACAACTAAATATTTGGACCATAAAATGTAGGGTTAGCAATTTCTCCCAACTCTAAATAAAAACTATAAAACTTAGAATTAATATATCAGCCTGTATTAGTAATACTTATTTAAATAATACTACAAAGAAATGTTAATAAACATTTCATTCAAAATACAGTTATATATGATTAATGATGCAAAAAAAGTAGAAATGTTCATAAATAAACAGTAAGGTACAAAAATTTGTTTAGCCTATGAGTAAAACTGAGCACTTTAAATCCATGGGGAAAAAATTATTTACATGACTCAGAAAGTTTCACTAGGAAATGTAATGTCATCATTGAACCTGTCCAAAATATGGCATATATTCAATATTAAAAATTTGTTTAATGAAGGTGTCAATTTTATACAATTAAAATGATTAATAATACACATTAACAATGAGGTTTTTAATAAAAAGCATAATTGAATTTTCATACAATAAATCATTACTAACACAGAAAAGATCAAGCACCATTTTGTAATAAAATTCTTTGTGTAAACTTTCTACTAAATGTTTTTGTATGAAATGCCTCTTCCTCATTCTTAATGGGATAATTCACTATATAACATACTGATATTCATGGTTTAATAAAGGTACTACTTGAATGTAACTCTCCCCTGCTTTCTCTAAGCCATCCACCCAATTCCTGCAATTAGCTAGTACATTCCTTTTTTAAAGTTTTATCTTTAAAAAAAGGAAAAGAAGGCAGCACGCTGTATAAATAATGAGAATTCAATCTTGATTTCATTAGCTTTTACTTAATTCTGCCAAGAGAGTGAGAATCTCTTCTAAACTTTGGGGACACACTTGCAAAAGAAGAAATTATATTGACAAGAGTCTGGAGATCATGAAAAAGCAGTTTTACTCCCTTCCCTGAACCCTACCCAACCCCCATCTCTCTACCTCACTTCCATCTCTCTCTTTTTCTCTTTCCTTCTTACCCTTTCCTTCTATCCCTCTTGATAATAAGCCAAATGGGCAAGATTATACAAGAAATAACTTCCAAAGCCAGATTTAAACATGGAGTTGCCTTGACTCCAAAATATTTGCTTTTAGGAACCACAATATTTCACTAAATCTAAGATGCACCACTAAGGAAAAAACATTACCAATTATAATCAGAAGATGTTATCTACCAAAAAACACATTTACTTCCAGAGATAATTAAATGTGAATGTACACAGTATTAACTGATAAAATGGTATGCTACACTGCCTACCCTTTTCTGATCTCCAGACTTCCAATCCATAGAACATACGGTTTTGCTTAATTAAGAATTACTCATTTGCTTATTCTCCCCAATCATAAGTAAGTCTCTAGGCTTGACCTCTGAAAGCCATCAGCTCACCCTACCTACAGAGCACCTAATTTAGACTGTCCTATTAACCAGGTCCTATTGCTACCCAAGGCCCAGAGGAAGGAGCACACTCATTATAAAGGCAGACCACTCACAAAAGTCTAGTTTGTTGCTATTTGTTAGCTTTGTCAAAGTCTGATTCTTTGAGTCACAACCCATCCTAACCCCCCCACCCTTTTGATTTAATATAACCTGTACATAGGGAGATATCACAATATACAACAGGCTAAAATATTTAAGGACAGTGTTTTTCAAACTGTGCTCTAGGCATCTAAGGAGATAAGGACGCAGGCACTCTCCCAATGCATCAACCAAGATAGCAAAGCTTCTGTGTTTTATATTGTGGACATCTTGAAAACCACTACCTTAAGGAACAGAAGGAACAGTTTAAGAAAGAAAGCACTTCAAGAAAAGGTTAAGAAGGATATAAAGCTTCCATACAGCCGACCACACTGTTGTGAATACCCTCACTCATATGCCTCTGTCTTATTCTTGAAATACATGAAAAAGCAAGAGGTAGGTAGATGGATGCATAGATTCTTTTATATATCCTTAACATGCAAGATCAGTCAACAATACTAACATAGGAATAATCCTAACAAAGAAAAGCACAGATCCTAAAATTAATACTCCAAAGAATATACTTACTTTTGTTGGCATCCATTCATCAAGTCTCTTATCCAAAACTACATCATAGCAGAATGCTCCAGCAATTACTGTAAAGCCAACCAAAACAAAATGCAAATTCTAATCCATTAGGGTAGGAAGTTACTAATTTGCATTAACTGAATATATAGACTATAAAATGGGTCTGCAATTTTGCACAACTCTATAAATTATAAAACTGTTACTATTATCCCAGATTACCAGAGCTCTATGAACTTTTCTCCACCCAAAAAATTAATTCATCTTTTATTAACCCCAAGTCACCAGGATTTTTGAACATTCACATTTTCCTCAGAAATATTATCACTATAGAGATTTCAAATAGTTACCATACACAAAAATTCTAAGAGAGTATTTAGTAAGTAGACAAATGACTAAATGGACAAGAAATGTTGATTTTTTTAAATATCTTCTCCATTTCTTCATTTTTGTTGTTTTGTATTTCTTAGAATCACTTACGAGCTTTTCAAATATTTTTGGTATATATACTTCTACCTTTATTTTAAAAAATACATGTGATTCTACTGTCCCTAGTTATAAAATCCTAGTTTTAGCAAAATTACAGAGTGTGAACTCTTCTATCTCCCCAAAATCATGTCCTTCTCCAGAGTTCTGGCCATTTCCAGTGAAACAGTACCACCTAAACACAGCTTTCTCCAGAAGTCTCTTTATACCCCTGCTTCTCCACAAAGTTCATTTGGAAATAAATACTTAAAGTGGTAATAAATAAACACTGAAACAATGTAGTTACATGAAATTGCATTCAAGAGAAACATTCTCCTCTATTAGGTTATTAACCTCCAATAATTACATAAGATGGATTTTGTTACCCATAAGTGGAATGTATGTATGATGACAATTTATATTAGATAAAATTGAAATGAACTCTATATATACCATCAAAAATAGGTACCAAAATATTTATGGATTACAGAAAGTATATATAGATTGACACACATACACATATATATGCATACTTAAGGCATATATGTAACAAATATTTAACATATTTTTTATTTATTTATTTATTTATTATGTACATTACCAGGAACTTCTGGAGCTCTAACCAAACTGACCACATAGTCATCCTTGAATGCCCTCTCTATCACACAGCCCATCACCATGGCACAAGAACGCCAATAAGCCTAGAAAAATAAAATACAAACATTCACTAAAGTTCTTCAGCATTAAAATTTAGGTTGACTTTTGACATAGGAACTATTTCTCAAATATCTGTCCATCCTCAGCATATAGCAACAGTTACCATCTGACATTATCTCTACAAAGCAAAAACCATGAAAGAATAAAGCACTAGCTATGTGCTATGAGTAATACTTCTATGCAAGATATCAGACACGAAATTGTTTATAAACTAACAGTTTCACTATCTGGTGGTAACTTTACTTTTAGCCCAGGATACAGTTAACTTGTAACAAACCATGATTAAGTAAAATAATTGTATTTATACCTTTTACACCATATATAAATATGGAGGGAAAACTCAACTTCTAAGAATTATTTATGACTCATATCCGTAAGTAACATCACATAACACATCCTCAAGTTACTCACATTCATAGCAATCTTACTACTACCTGCACTTTCATTTTACTAGCATTTGATCCACGTCCATGCCTAATATGGGTATCCATGAATGACTATATCCAAGTCATAGAGAGAAACACAAGTCCTGCACCATACCTGCCCATCTTCTGCCCCATATTGGCACTACTATAACTGGGTATTTGACTTTTGAAAGCATCTGTGGACTACACGGGTGGACTCACTTGTCTTTGAGTAGCAGAGACTGCTCCAGAATACATTCTACACAACCACATAACATACATTAAAAATAAGTATAAGACCAGGCCTTGAAGGCAAGTAGCAAAATGCACTTCTTCCTCTATCCTACTTCAATGCTTTTAATGTCTGTTGAACTCCAGAGTCAGAGTGCCTCGATTCAAATTGAGGCTCCACCACTTCCTAAACTTGCAACTTAGGTCGAGCTACTGAATCTCTTTGTCTCAGTTTATTTACTTGAAAAATGGGGATAACAGCAACTACCATATGGAATTTTTATGAGGATTAATGATTAATAGCTGTAAATCAACTCAGATATGCCTGATACATAATCAATACTCAATGTTAGCTATTACTACTATTATGTCTATCATTTTCCTGTTTAAGTATTTCATTTCAACAAATATTATTAAATACTCAGTGTATGTAAGTCAAGGACTAGGTCCAATATGAAACATGATCCCTGTCTTCATAGAGCCAAGAATCTTACACATTAAACAGTTTATATTACAAAATTAAAGTACTGTATCCAGAGACACTAGCCAAGTGTTGTAAGGCCTAAAGAAAAGATGGATTCATTCCAAAAAGGTTCCACAGAGCAGGTGGCATTTTAATTGAATAATAAAAGATAAGCAGGGTTTTAATAGGAAGGAAAGAAAATACTCAGAGTTGAAGGAAGAGCATCAACAAAAGAAAGGAGGGTAACACAGCAAAATGAGGCAGGTTAGTATCAGATCACACAGGGCATGAGAAGTTATGTGAACAGTTATCAGGTAAGCAAGTTCTTTAGGGATAAATGATACAATCCTTAGTCATGTCACTTAATAAAACTCTTAGAAGGTTATTAAGAAAGATTTTAGAGGACCAACAAATGCTGGCAAGGATGCAGAGAAAGAGCAACTCTCCTACACTGCTGGTGGGAATGCAAATTAGTTAAGCCATTGTGGAAAGCAATATGGAGGTTCCTCAGAAAACTCAAAATAGAAATACCATTTGACCCAGGAATTCCACTCCCAGGAATTTACCTGAAGAAAACAAAATCTCAGATTCAAAAAGACATAATGTAGGGGGGTCACAGGGAAGGCAGTACAGCAGAGAAGACAAGTAATGACTCTATAGCATCTTACTATGTTGATGGATAGTGACTGTAATGGGGTGTGTTGGGGAGACTTGATAGTATGGGTGAATGTAATAACTGCAGTGTTGCTCATGTGAAACCTTTATAATACTGTATATCAATGATACCTTAATAAAATAAAATAAAATAAAAAAGAAAGACTTCAGTATTATAAAAGGGAGGCAGAGGAGGATGAAAGTTAATCCAGAGAAGATGGTCACAGGCTGAATTCAAGCAAGAGCAGTGGGAATGAAATCACACACAATATAAGTGATCAATAAACATAAGCTGAAAAAGATATGAATGTGAAAGATACATCAGGTAGTTCTCTCAAACCAAAACACAGAGAAATGGATGCCACTGGTTATTTTTGAGCTATGAAAATGCCTAATCTAACAAGAAAAGCACTGATTAACTAGTAGAGTACAAAATTTGACCTGGCCATATCTGCATATTTTGTACTCCATAAGAAATGAATTTTAATGAAAAGGAGAAAAAAACTTGGGTTGGGGGGAAGTATGTAGAAGTAGTAATACCTTATTCACTTCTCCTGGATCTTGGTCTTTGAAAGTAAGAAATTTAATTTCACAGGATTTGGTCAATGGCTTATACATGTCCCAAGGCTGTCCATCCACAAGAGCCAGAATGGACTTACTGCAGTACCACTCACTTAAATCTAGAAATTAAAAATAGAAGGAAGGTCTCCTTAAAAACAACAAATAAAATAAGACAGATTGAAGGTGTAAATCTAATAAAATTCAAAGTGAAAAGTTACATGTTTAAGTACTACATTAAGAAATTAAGACAATTAAAAGGCAAAGTTCAGCAATCTTTCTGGGACAGAAAAAAAGTATCACTAATTATATCTGTAACCAATTAAAAAAAAAGAAATTGCCCAACATGTCCAATGTATTGTTGATTATAAATGAAATTATCCAAACCATTTAAAAAACCAATTAAGTCTAATGTAAAATTAATCTATAAGTAATACAAGAGCAACAGTTAAATATTCAGAGAGCAGCATCCTGAATATATTTGGATATATGCACACACACAACTTAGAAGAAAAAGGAAAATACATATATAAATACACATCCATAGTTAAGTTGTTCTAAATGGGTTTAGAGTCTGCTCCCAAACCATCTCTTACTTCCTTAATATGGACTCTTCAAGTTAAATACTGTACTTAACAGTTTTTAATTACCAGTATCAATGCACATATAAGCCAATCAATTCTGACCCATTCTATGACCCCAGAATGTAACTCCAATCCTAATTAGATGTTTTTCAAGTACACAGCTACTCATAGTAGTCAAACTACAGCGTACAAAAAAGTTCCATAAAGGTAGGGATTGTGTCTATTTTTGCTCACTCATCAGTATACCCTGAGCCTAGCACAGATCTGAGATACAGTAAGTATTCAATAAAAGTTTACTGACTGAAAGTATGAATAACAAATAAGTCCAGGGCAAAGGTCATACTGAGGGTGGGTGTAGAAATGTCCTTAAAGGCCTGAGTTTTTATATTCCTCTGTATTTCTAATGCCTATCATATAGCAAAGGTTCAATAATTGCTCACAAAACAATAAAACTATCACAAGTACTAATTCAAGTGCCAAAGTAAAGGAAAATTGAGTGTGTATACTCTGTAGACCAATTATTAACTAAAGTTTTTAATTACTTAAGTGGAATCATTACAAAGTTTTCCAAAAGCCTAAACAATGCAGCAAAGCGTATACATGAGTGAGCACGGCCTGTATATATCTATTTTGGGGACTTTCTAAATTTAAGTATTACCAATTATAGCAAAACTACTATAAAAGCACTTCGATCAAAAATAATATACAGAGGCCATTCCCTTCATTTCTACAACAAAACACATATTGTGTATAGTTATCACTTTTAAGATATGAACACAATATTTTTATCCCTATCACATTCACCCTGTGCACATTTCCACTCACACATTTACTCTATGTACATGTAAATGTAACAAAAACACAAAACACAAAGAGGCAAGTGGTATGCAGATAAAAGTTTTAAGTTAGGCTATAATGAGCTAGAAAGGAAAAGAAGGCCAAAAGACTGGTCATCTGAGGCCAGGGCAGTCTCTCTCATCCAAAGTCTTTTAGTGAAACCTGCATAGTGACTGCTTCCATTATAACAGAGTCCTGTCTAAAAGGGGCAAACACACTAGCAACAATGTTTTAGGTCTGCCTTCTTCTGCCAGAAACAATTATAGCACCCTAAACTTACCCGGATGCAAGTAAATCCCAGGTTTGTGCATTACAGTACCAACTTTTCAAGATCCATAGTACCCTCTAGAGCTAAACTGACAGGGAACAGACAGTAAGATACTAGATAAGGGAGAACTTCTCCAAAGGTCAGGGTGCAACTACAGCATCTTGTCTCCTCTGCACCAGTTATTCCACACAGGTTAGTAAAACAGTACCCTGATTTCTTACTTACGCATGGCACAACTGTAAGGAGTTGAAATGTTTTTATTCATCACGAAGATAGTGCCAGGGTCAGTGTCCCCAACATGTTTAACTTCAATCTTCTCAGTTCTGGGAGTTAAGGATAACTGCTTGTTTTTCTCTTTATTAAAGAGATCATTCTGCATTTCTGTCAGTTCAGTAGGTGAGAGTCGTGAAGCTGGTGATGTTGCTATAAATCCTGTGTAGAAGTTACAATAAATATGAACACTAAAAATAAATACATAATGCCTGATACCCTACCCTATTCCAATCCCGTATCACCCTCCTACCGGGAAGGAACAGGAGGCAACAGAATTTTAAACACTGTTTGTGAACCTTTCTAATATTAATAATTAATAGATGTGCGACTGTCAACTTTATTCTTTCACTATCAGATCTCTATTTCCCACCTATTTCCTGTGTCATATTCCAGTGCTTTACAAGAAGGGGCAAAAAGTAACCAGTAAGTGGAGTCAAAGCCAGACTGTCATCGGCGAGCTGAGCAAAGCTGTCGCTTTGAAAAGGAATTGACAAGAAAGCTCCAAGAGACTGGGGGTCCCACGTCAAAATTATCAGTATCTAAGGCAAGAAATGCTAAGCATATTTCCAAATCCCAAACCAGAGGATTTCTTAAGACCAGCATTAGCACTCCAATGGGAACACAAGGACATGCTTGCCCAGGAGCCTCCCGCGCTCGCGCCCCGCCGGTCTCCCTCGCACCCGAGATCTGTAACCCCAGGCCGGGCGGAAGCGGCCGCTACAACCAGGACTCAAAGACCCGTCCGTCGCCCTCAGCCACGCGAGACCGCCCAGGACGTGCCTCGGGCCCAGTCTGGGCAGACACCACCCCCAAGCCTTGCTCCCAGTCAGCACGGCCACTGAAACTCACTCCAGGCAGCCCCGCCACCGGGAGCGGCCCGGCAAAGCCGACACACCCGTACAGCCCCGGCCATTGCCTCCTCTGCAACCGCAGGAACAGCCCCACGGAAGTCCTCCCCGGAAACCCTGATCGCGCACCCCGCGTTCCGGAGGACACTTCCGTTCCGGACCCGGCGCTCTGGCTGCGTGCTCCCACCAGGAGGCGCCAAGCGGCCTCGTTTAGGATTAGTTGCCCGAGGTCCGGCGTCTGGAGCAGGGGCACCTCCCAGAGGCGCGGAGGGTGACAGGGGTTGCTGGGCCCCAGGGCCGGTCCGCCACCCCGTGGGCTCTGCGGGAAAACGGTGTTTCCTTTGTAGGCTCCGACAGGCGTCATCGCCCTCTGCCCCCCGCGGGTTTGAGCCCAAAGCCCTTGCTTACCGCAAAGAGTATTTCTGGGGAGAAAAAAATGGGGAAAGACGGCTTCTGTTTACTCTTGCTTTTGAGGTCAGCTAGGCTGGCCATGTCGATGACATTCTGGGTCGTGGCTTAACTCGCGGTTTGCAAGGTTGAGTTCTTACAGGTCGGCCGGAGTGGGTCTACGCCCAGGTTCTCCCTTTATTTAGCCACATTGGAGGGAATTCTGTAATCCGTAGACCTCTTTACGAACTATTTAAATTAGTTTATATAATGTATAGAAAGCATATTAAAAAGCATCCCAGGGAAGAATTTTTGTCTCTTGTTCACCTATGTAATCGCAAGTGCCCAGAATAGTGTGGCACATAGTAAGCACTCAGTTACTTGTTGAATGAATATGCCTTTGCAAAAAGTCCTGGAGCAGTACCTAACTCCTTTGTCATACTAGGATGCTAATTGCTATTGAAGCAAGCATTCCACAGATGAAGTATGGAAAGGCTTTTAGTCAAAGTTATTTAATGCTGTGGCTTTACTTAAGGCGTGTTAAGTTTATAAATTTAGCCCATGGACTTTTCCCCACTCTGCCCTTTGACTTGCAATCAGAATATACAATGACACTAGGTGGAAGTACCTGATAAGGAACAAACACTGTGATAAGATTCTGGGCTTCCCCTGGGAGAACTGGATGCAAGTGGTCATAAGTCACAAAATTCCAATTTTAAGGTAAGTACTGTGGATGCAATATACAACATGATGACTAAAATCAACAATGCTGTATGGTATATTTGAAAGTTGCTAAGAGAATAAGGCCTAGAAGTTCTCATAACAAACTATATGAGGTAATGGATGTTAATTTACTGTGGTAATCTTTCCAGTATATTTGTATGTCAAGGCACTATGCAGTAAACCTTAAACTGTTGTATGCCAATTAAAAAACTGGAAGAAAAAAAAAGACTAACTGCCTTGATAGATCTGTCTCCTTGACCTGAATTTTACATTCACAACTTGCAGGGAAAGTGCAATTATCTTTGCTTTTAAAATGAGAAATATAAGGAGCTGGGCTTGGATTTAAATGCGGTGTGTATTTTGCTAGGCCACACCTCATTTATGTGAGAAATTTCATATATGTTATGTATGTAGGGGGGTGTATCGTTTTCCTCCTTAAATTTGTTTACAGTTATTTCCTTGAAAGCTCTTTGTCTCACCAGTCTTTCATTAGAGTCTGTCCCCATTTAACCCCATCTAATTGCCTTCAGAATGTTTTAGACCAATGTTTAAACAAAGCCTAAGAACATAAATTTAAGAAAGTTTAATCATAAATCACATTGGGAACAGCAATTGGAAGCCACAAGTATCACAGAAATTAACTCAGAAGGATGCTAGTAATGTCTACAAATATTGAATATATGCCAGTCATATTGAATATATGCTAATCAATCATGTTTATGATTCTCACAACCTAGTCATGCAATAGGCATAATAATCTTCATATTCCAGGAGAGGAAATTCAGGTTTTGAGATCTTGAGAGACCTACTACCAAGGTAGAGTTTAGCCAGGGCTCCCCCAAAATATTTTCTTACTCTAAACTTTTTGGGCCTCCTTCTTTATCAAACTTCTCCCCAAATCTTAGTTTCACTCTCAAGTAAAAAGAATCAGGTCTATGGCAGTAAATATCTAAGGCGAGCCTGGAATATCTTGCCAAAAAACAAGAAAATACTCTAAGACAGACAGAAGCAGGTTAAAAGGACACAGGACACTGCTTAAATACAGAGACTTCCATTGTACAAACTTAGAAGAGTTTAAATAACAAAACAAATAATGATTAAGGATTATAACATTAGCTGTGTTAAAAATCCATGAGTTCTAGTTATATTCAAAAATAAATGGCAGTGTTTGCAACAACAGGGATAGATCTAAAAGATATTATGCTCAGTAAAATAAACAAGGTGGAGAAAGACAACATATGATTCCACTTATTTATGAAATACAAAAACAGTACAAAACAGAATAAACAAACCAGCAGACTTAACAGACACCGAGGAGTGACTGGTGGTTACCACTGGCAAGGGGTTAGAGTAGGTGGGTGGAAGGGCAAGGGGGATAAAGGGACACAAAAATTCCCAATCATAATATATATATATTGGTCACAGGGATAGTAGTACTGTGTGGAGAATAAAGGCAATGATTCTGTAACATCTTCCTATGTTAACAGATAGCAACCACACTAGAGGGGCTGAGGATTTAATAATATTGGTAACTGTTGAACCATTGATATATATTTGAAACCAATACAAGATTGTACACCAATGATACTTCAATAAAAAATTTTTTAATCTAAAAAAATAAATATATAGCAGTAGAGAGGAAGTTTTCTTTACAAAAGAATGCCAGATAATAGAATAAAAGACTGGGGGGAAATCACCATTCTGCAGCTACCAATGTAACAACTGATTCAGGAAGAGATCATCTATGAATGCTAAAACCAGTGGAGAAAGCTTGTTGGGTATCTAGATTGTCACAGAGTTTCTAAGTATCATTCCACAGATTATGGATAAAGCACAAAAGGATAAAGGAAACCAATGGAGAAATGTGATCCACTTTAACAAAGTAGTCAAACATCATCACCCAAAATGAGATAATCTGACATTATTTGTGCCTTGTGGTTGTGATGTAAACAACATCACCCATAGAGTATTCCTTACATAAATATTTATTCTGAATCTAAAGAATTATGAGGAAGAGAAATCAGTATATCCAAAAAATGATACAATCTACAAAACAACCGGCCTGAATTTTTCAAAAATATCAGTCTCCTGAAAGATGGATCAAAAAAGATCAGAGAACCATTCTAAATTAAAGGAAACTAAGGAGACATGTGACTAATAGCTTATGTGTGTGATCCTCACTTGGATCTTGAATCAGAAAAAGAAAATTACCAAGGATATTATTATGACAGAAAAATTTGAATATGAACTATATACTAAATAGTATTGTTGTATCAACATTATATTTCTTGGATGTGATAATAGTGTAGTGGTCACAGAGGAGAAAGTCCTTATTCTTAGCATATATTGTGAAATATTTAGGGGTGCAGTATCATTATGCCTATAACCAACTCCACTGGTTCAAGAAAAATAGAGGGTTCTATAGAGAGAGAGAGGGAGCATGAGAAATTAAGCAAATGTGGCAAAATGTTAACATTTGATGAAGTTAAGTGAGATGTTGATTGTACTACTCTCTCAACTTTACTCTGAAAATTTTCAGGGTAAAAATTTGGGAGAATAACCAGAGTAGTTTTCCACCACAGAAGTCTGTTTTACTCACAGGGCCAGCTGTGGCTCTTTAACTTTGTTACCAAGTCCAAGCTGTAGAAGCATCCCCTACTTAAGACTTTTGGTTCTGGGTGGACGGAGAGGAGAGCAAGGACTCCTCAGTACACTGGCTCTTAAAAGCTTCTGCTTAGACTCTCCTAGTTCTCGGGCTCACTGCAAGTCCTGCAGCCAAGCCCAACAGCAGTCAGGCGGGAGGTTGTGCCTCTTAGGGAGCCAGTGAATGAGGTTGTGGAATTCTACTCCAAGGAAAAAAGCAAACCACTGAAGCTAGAATCGAATAGCTGGGTTATTCTCCCAAGATGATGAGAAGAGCTGCAACTCAAGCTCAAGTTGATCTCCAAAGCTTATGCTTTCTTTTTTCTCAGATTTGTGGGGTTTTTTCAACCAAATATTTGATTTTCCAATTATTATAAGTCCCCTTGCTTGGGAAACCTAAAAATACATGTATTATATACTGTGAAAGATTTCCCTCCCATCTTTTGTCCCCATTCACAAGTTTTTACCAAAAACTCCCATAGGAGTCCACTGTTATTAATTTCTTACATATCTGGAGAGTTCTTTGTACCGTTATCAGCTAACCCAAATATATATATC